TCTTCTGTGTGATATGTATATATATATATTAATAATTATTGTATGATATACTGTATTAGATAAATAATAGTTTATAATGTGATTGAAATCTGCAAAATAACAACTTGAATGTTTTAATACAATTATTCAAAATTAATTTAACATTTTACAACTATTACTTCTGAGGTTCTTGATTATAGTTAAAATATTTTTTGTAAATATCATTTTTAAGATATGTAATGTATGCATAATATCTTGCATAGCTTAGTTACAAAGAACGTGTTTTCATTCCTGTGTCAACATTTTCTTTGTGACAACCTTGTAAAATATGATTTAGTTCTTTTTAGTTAATATTATCCACCTATCTAAAAGTTCATTATGATTATAGTTGGCAACATTATAAGGTCGTCCATAGAGCAAATACTGCTGCAATGTATGACGAAACCATAAGATTTATAAAGGTGTGACTTAGTAGTTTCAAGTATGTTTCTATTACTACTAAAGCGACAATATGCCATGTTCACCCTTCATGGTGATGGATATTTGAAGCTTTGGAGATAAATTATACAGAACAAATTGTGTAAGGGACCATTCTTTTGTAAGGGACCATTCTTTTGTACCCTAACTGTTTTCTTTACAGAATTTATTAGAAAGAATAAATCTCACGAAGAAGTTTTTAAATAGTTCTAAAATAATTCTAGAAAGTAAACTATTAGACTATGATTTTGAATCTGTTAACTTTAACTCTTTACCAATTCTTTCATGTCAGTATAGACATTAACTTATTTTCCACTTAGACAGCAACAATAAAGACAAAATGAAACTTTGGTTAATCTTAACAGAATCAAAGAGTCCACTTGTATCCAAACTACAGCGAACAAATTAAAACAGGTTTGTTTCTTACAACTTTCAATCTTCATAGCACAAGTCTGGGTGTCGTGAGGATAGGTTTCAAACACCATAGCACAAGATAAAAGAAGAGTGAGTCTGGAACGAACAAGAAACGAGATTATTTACGTAACTTCTATAACATGAAACTGATTTCCAGAATTATTGGACATGTCGAATTTTTTGAATAACCATTTGCATTTGAAAGAAAATGTAAGTATTTTTTCCTGTATAACTCATTACACAATGGAAGTTACAATTTTGGTCGATAAAGAAATATCTTCCCAAGAATTAGGGTAAGGTTTACTTTTCAGATTATTATTTCATATTAAAGTCATTTTTCACATCGTATCATTTAACCTCTGATACACTTTACTCCCTTACAACATCAATGATGTTGTTTACATTTCAATAATTATTGGCTTATCCATAATCAGTAAACATATTGTTATATTATAATTTATTCACTGATATCTAATAATTGTTAAAATTGTTTTCTAATTACTTAAAGTGTCACAGCACGTACTAAAGTACTATGACTAAAGTCATAAAAAACGAGTTAATACTGTACAGTAGTGTAGGATGATTCAATATGTAAAGTCTTATATATTTCTCGGTATTTTAATGCTAAATGTAATTGATTTAATTTTAGGAATTTCTAAAATACCTAAGCTTTAAAATGTTTAGTATGTTTTCTCCAGAAATCATCAAATCATTAAAATACAAGGGGCAGAAATATAAATGTACTTCTTACTTGACCATATACAGAATAGTTTTATCTTTGTATAACCAAATGTAGTGGTTGGGGATGGTCATTTCTTGGAAAGTGACTTTCTTCGCGTTCTTGAAGAAAGAGTCTGGTCTCCACATTCTTTTCAACCAGCTGACAGGTAGAAGTCGATAGTATGTAGTCATGTTTTCTGGAAGTCTTAGTCGATGGTCCTTCCAGCTCTGAGACATAAAAATGTCTGCCACGTAGGTCTGATGAAAGACATTAGACAAATGTCTCATTGAGCGTTTAGTGAAAAAGTCTAACTTTATTGGCAGATTTTGCAAACAAATTAGTTACTGGCACCAATAACGTTATTAAACACGCATATGAACAACAGAATGAAAAGAAAACAAAACATTACAAATAACGAATTATTATGTATATATGGAATTAAAGAGTCAAAGTGTTAGGCACTTGATATCTGATAACCTTAGTACTTAAATCCAAACTTCAACAGTGTCTTATCTTTACGGAGAAGCGACAGTTAATGTAACATTTCTAAATATGTTGATACGTAATACACTTCCTGGTCTGGCTACTACATTTAAAAATACTTGGAATGCTTATATATTAACTTTTTTTTTCAGTTAATATGTGAAAGTTAAGTATCTTGACTCGATTAAATTAAAAAAAAATGTTATTTGAACCTGTAGTTATACTATGTACGTAGAAAGATCACATTTTCGATCTGTCAATCAACTTGGTCAGTCTTTATGGGAACACTTAGTGCCAGTAGAGACAATAGATATTTATTACTTACTGTAGTTTTCAAAATAACTCAACTACAAGAAGTTGTTTGAAATGTATCTGAAGAATAAAAACACTCTGAGGGGAAAAGCTATTTCCTTGAGAATATTGATTTGATATGTATGCTATGAAAGGTATGCTACATTCCGTAGTAATACCATTTTTTGTAATTAAGAGATTACTTAAATATTGTATATACAAAATCTACTGAAGCAGAGAGTTATGAAAGAATTTTTCGTCAAGGTTTCAAATCACACCAGATTACCATGGGAAAATAACATTTGGAGTTGTAAGTGTCTTTATATATATATATGTGTGTGTGTGTATGTGTATGTGTCTTTATATATATGTGTGTGTGTTTTTATATATATATATATCTATGTGTGTGTGTGTCTTTATATATATATGTGTGTGTGTGTGTCTTTATATATATATATGTGTGTGTGTCTTTATATATATATATGTGTGTGTGTGTTTTTATATGTATATGTGTGTGTATGTCTTTATATATATATGTGTGTGTGTGTCTTTATATATATGTGTGTGTGTGTTCTTTATATATATATATATGTGTGTGCATGTATTTATATATATATGTGTGTGTG